ATTGGAATTAATATAAACCCTAAAGCAAATAAACCCCCAAAAATTACAAAGTAAATAGCTGCTCCTTTCATAATGGTTTTTTTTTTGACAGAATTTTTTTAAGTGGGAGTTATTTTATGAAAAAATTTTATTTGTAAAGTTCGTTCCCATTTGTCTAAAAAAAGAAATAATATAGTCATTTTAAACTATATGAAGTGATTTTGTTTAAGTTGTGTTGTGTAATACTATTACATATTACACTACTCGGATTAAATTTTCGCCTTTTGCTTTTGGCTGAATTACTGTGTAATTATGACCACCGAGACAATTTTTTGTATGGTAATATAATTTATAAATAAAAAAAATTATTTTAGTATATATTTTTTAAATTTTTACAATTATTATTAAGCAAAGGCAATAGGATTAGATGTGTTTTTGTTTAATAAGAAAGATAATTATAATATTCAAGAATTTGAAAATTAGATTTTAAAATTAAATTAGAAACAATTCCTGATGATGAAAAGAAATGCGACTTTATTGTCTTTAGATAATAATAATATATTCCATTTGGTATAGAATATAGAGATATTACATTTAAACAAATAAAAAATAAACGATCTCATCATATCTCGAATTAAGGTTTTGATCATTCATTCTTATTGGTCAATTTAACATCAGCAAAGTAAAAAAAGTCGATTTGAACCAACATTTAAAGGACAACAACCGGATTTTTATTTATAGATTAATCGGCTGAATCTCGAAGAACATTTTTGTATTAGAAGATGATGCCCTCAGAAAAAATTTTTATGTCAGAAAATTTTTATCGGCTGATTAATTGTTTAAGGGATAAATATGAAATATAATAGTAACTTGATGTGATATATAGAACATTTGCTGAAACAACCAAGAGAAAAGAGATTATTCAACATAGTTTTTAGCAAGAAATTTTTATTAATTAAAAAATAGCAGAATTTTGCAAATTTGTTTGTTTGGATAATATTTTAAATATTATATTTTAGGGCCAATCAGAATTTTGAAAATAAAATTCATTTATTTTTTTATTTAATAATACATTTTACATCTCTATTTTTAAGTCCATTATTATAATAATTACCATAGTATTCAATTTCGTCAATATTATAATCTTCATTTATTGTTATTATTTTGTTGTTGATTTCTACATAAAATCTATTTTGATTAATTGCCGTACTATATCCATTATTGTTATTATTATCCTTGTTATTATTATGGAATTCTAAAATAATTTTTGTTGTATATATATCCCATTTTGTTGATGAAATTGTAAAATTTATTCTTTTTGCAAAGGTAATTATGACTCCATGGTTAATGGTTCTTTGACAAGGTTAATCATGATGAGTGGAATATCAATGGATGTTTGTACAAGATCCAGAATCCAACTTTTATAGATCAAGAAGAAACATTTCTAATAAGTATTTTAGAAAGAGAAATTTTAAGTATATATGGTTGAATTTCACAGTTTAATGAACAAGTTAGAAAATTGTCAACTATTCTTTGTAATTATTAACAAAGAGAAATATATCTCCAATTAATGACCCTGATAAGTTTGTTCAAATAATTGAGTTTTTTGATTTGTTTTATCAAAGTATGAATCCTTCTTCAAAAACTCAAGAAGATTTAAAAAAAAGATTATAATACTTTGTTACCAATTGCAAATGATTGATGATGATCCTAACATACCATTTGATAACAATTTGGATCAAAAACTTAAGTTTGCAATATATAATGTTAATAAAATGGGATAAATTAATTAATATTAATATGATTGTCAAAAAAAAATTAAAGTTGGAATTTTTTAATATTATATATAGAAATGCACCCGCAGATCATTTAATATTACGCAATTATGTAATTATTTATTATTATAAATATTAAGGAATTAGAATTGAGGACAACAGCGACACAACAGCAGTAACAACAGCACAGCATAAATAACAGCATCAAATTTTTGTTATTGATACTTCGTTTGATTAAGTACAAATGAAAAATGTCTTTGAATAAAAGTGATCAAAAAAAAAAAGAAGAGACATTACCAGAGACAGAAGAATCTATTAAAGCCAACACCAATTGATCAATTGCATCTGATTGAAACTCTACTTGGCGTATAAGTGGTGCAAATGAATCAGTTATATCATCAATTAAAGCATAATTGATCCAATCTGAATTATTAATTATCATTGAGAAGATTAAAACCAAAATTATGAAATTTTTATTGGTGCATGAAATTTAAATAATTTTTCTTGGAAATTTGATGTTTGATTTACCAGGTGTCACTTTAATATAATCCTTTAATTGACGTATTCTTCTTCTCACATTATGAGCATGTGACGTTGGTTGATAATGAAACTATAAATATTATTATTATTATTATTTGATATTGTTGTTATTAAGCAATTCACATGAAATATTCTTCATATTAATAAACTAAATAAATAATAATAATAATAATAATAATAATAATATATTAAAATCACAATCACTTACTGATAGTATCCCTTCTCTCATGACAACATTAAACATGCTTATAGGTTCAATATCATCTGATGGATTACAATTGTTTTGATTGTATGATCGAAAATTAATGAAATAATAATTTTTGAATAATTCACATTTCTCTCGTGATTCTTCTGTCTCAATATCTTCTGTTGTCAATGGATGAATATGAAAAATCTACAACATCATACATATATTAATAAAATAATGATATAAATATTGTGGAATAATTGAGTCATTGTACATCAATTTCAAATCCTCTTCTTCATAATTACCGAACTTAAAATCCTCATTTCTGAATCAGTTGGTGATAATACATCAATCCAAAAATATCCTTGTTTTAATAATTCTGTCATTGTTTGACCTTTTGGTGGGATCTCTGAAAAACAGTTGGTGCGTATAGTTCCTGTCTCTGTAGAATAAAATGTAAATCGTAATGCTTCGGTAAGATCTGGTGGTGGCTAATTATAAATAAATACATATTCATTTGTTTATTTTTAATATAATTCTTTATTAATAATAAACCAAATTACCTTAATTCTTTCAGCATATTGACTAACTCGTCTTTTTAATGAAGTTGCTTTTGTTTCATCATCATTATTGTTGATATTATTCTTTTTCT